TGTAAATGTTTATGAAAATTAATAAAATTATAGAAGAAAAAAAAAGAAGGGTTCGTGGTACTATGGATATTGTAGCTGATGTTAGGTGGATCTTAGCTGAAAGCAGGGAATACCAGAAGAATATATATCTGTGTTTCATTGATTATGCAAAGGCATTTGACTGAGTCACCATAACAAACTGTGGCTGACTCTGAGAAGAATGGGAATCCCAGAACACTTGATTGTGCTTATGCGAAACCCATACTTGGACCAAGAGGCAGTCGTCAGAACAGAGCAAGGAAACACTGCATGGTTCAAAATTTGGAAGTGCATACGCCAGGGATATGTCCTATCTCCATACCTTTTCAACCTGTATGCAGAACAGATCATCCGGGAGGCTGGGCTCTATGAGGAGATGTGGGGCAGGATTGGTGGAAGATCCATCAACAATCTGTTATGCAGGTGACACAACCCTGCATGCTGAAACTGAGGAGGACCTGAAGCAATTGCTGCAGAGGGTCAAGGACTGCAGCCTTCAATATGGAATGAGGCTCAATGTCAAGAAGACAAAGATTCTCATCACTGGACCAATTGGTAGCATCAGGATGGATGGTGAAGAGATTGAGATTGTTTACAGCTTTAGTTTGCTTGGCTCCACAGTCAACACTCTTGGTACTAGTAACCAGGAAATTAAAAGACATATTGTGATGGAAAAGTCTGCTGTTAGGGACCTTTCCAAATTTCTGAAGAGCAATGGTGTGTCTGATACAGGCCATGGTCTTTGCATCACTTGTTATGCATCAGAAAGTTGGACAAGGACTAGGGAAGATAGAAGGAGAATTGATGCCTTTGAGCTTTGGTGTTGGAGAAGAGTATTGAATGTACCATGGACTGCTAAGAAAACAGATTCATCCTGGAGAGGGTTAAACAGGGCTGCTCCTTGGATGTGAAGATTCTGACACTTCGTCTAATATACTTTGTACATGTTGTAAGGAGGGACAGGTCCTTGGAGATGGATAACATGCTTGGGAGGGTGGAGGGACAGCACGGGAGAGGAAGGCCCTCTATGAGGTGGATTGATTCAGTGACTGGGGTAATCAGGATGGGTGTGTTGAGACAGTGCAATTGGCACAGGACAGAGCAGAGTTTAGGGCTGTTGTACATAGGGTCACTGTGAGTCGCAAGCAACTCAACGGTACATAACAACAACAACAACATATTAATGTACACACACTTAGGATTGAAATATAATGGTGTCTCAGACTTATTTTAAGAATACTTCAACAAAGAAAAAAACAGATATGTTATTTTGGCAAAATGTTCATTAACAAGCTGCACTGCAATCCCAGAGATATGTGGTTCAAATCCACCAGATGCTCTGCCGGAGAAGGAGAGGCCATCTCCTCCTGTACCAGTCAGATCAGATTTTTTTTTCTATAATTATATTTTATTAATTTTCATAAACATTTACAGAGATTTTGGGTTTCCATTCATTCATTGTTGCACTATTCTCTCTACCCTCCTCCCAGTTTGTTCTTGTCCAAATGCCACAGTGCTTGTCAAAGCCAGTTCTGATTAATCTTCTTTGTCAGTGTGTCCTTTGCCATTCCCTATCACTCCTCCCTGAGAGAGACTTCACCCTGAGTCATAAGGAAAAGGGGATGGCATATTCTCTTAGCTACTTCCTGCTGAAAAGGGACGCTATGGGAGTAGAGATCTTCTCTCACTACTCTAAAGGGCCCCTTTGGCAGTAGGAAACACATAGACTATTATGGAGATTGATTTTGGAATTTAGATGCACTCTTATTGATTTTGCTTGGCCGTACATGTTCATATCCTTGAAGATGTACAGTCAGATCAGATTTGACGGTACACACACAGAGAAAATAATAAAATAAAAATTAAAAAAAATGTTCATTAACATGTTGGTGTTGGATATCTGAAGAGAAAGACCCTGCAGGAGATGTATTGATACAATAACTGGGGTAAAGAGGTGCATCAGAGACAGTGAAATTGGCTCAGGTTAGATCAGGATCTATTCGGCAGCACATAACAACAATCTGAACTTCACTATATATAACATTCTCTTCTACTTTCGTAACTGAGCAAGGAAACTTTTGTACAGAGCTCTGTAATTTTTCATATAAAAATGTTCTCTGTTCTCTATTATCCTGAAAAAAGACAGGATGGTATCTATGTTATCATAGCCTTAGGGATTGAGGGTCCCTGAAGAGCTATCCATAGACTCTGGAACCAGAACAGTTTTACTATCCACCCTACAGGTCTGATTTTGTTAACCAGAAAAAAAATGCATTAAAATCCTCTTGCCCTACAAAGTTCACCAGACCACTGATAGTCTTCAAAATGAATCACATAAACCATATTATTCCCTTTCTAGGATTAATCTATTTCATATTAGTCTTTACATTTATGGACATAGAATTGTTCACAGTCATTTATTATCCTTTCAATGTCCGTATAATCTGTAGTGATGTTGCCAGTAATGAATGTCTTAATTCCCCTATCCTTATCATTTAGCTCTTGTTTCCTTTATTGAGAATCTTATTTGAGCCTGTAAGGCAGTGGGTTGTTTTGTTTGTTTGGTTTTTGTATTTGAGCTCCTACCTAATGTCCCAATCCCAAATTACCATTTCTTCACCCTCTCCAGAGCCCATGTCAAAGTGGTGATGAAGGAAAAGATATAGGCTGCTTTCCTTTTCTGTTTTCATTTCAACTGTCCTGGTCTTTAATGTTATCCAGTGATAGTCACCAGGTAGTGCTGTCTAGTACTTGTAGAAACTTTTCTCTTTGAGCCTCTTCAATGCCCATGATACCTGTTGTTTAGGATTCAAGTGAACAGCATAGTCAGGGAAACACAGTCAACAACCCCTGACTCTACCCATGATTCACAATCTACCGTACAGCCTCAACCCCAATTGTGCAGCCTTAAATACAAAGCAGTAAACTGCTAAGTCTGCTAAATCCTATCCTTTTCCACTTTATGGATAATTCTTATGTTAATGACAAATATACATTGGTTTTTCTGCCAGGTGCTTGCTTTTTTCACATGAGCCAGAGCAGTGGAAGGAAATAAAGAGGAGCACAAGAACATACTTGCTTGTCATAAAGACTCCAAAGGGCTAGTGAACCAAAGTTTGCAGATAAAGAGACACATCAAAGTGTTTGTTGCAGGTGAGAACACTTTCTTTATTCCATATAAAGAAGGTGATTTCTAGAGCGTGGAAGCAGAAGGGAGGGACTTCGTCTGACTCTACCTCTATTGTAGATGAAGTAAATCTTCGTCCACATTCTGGTTACCAGGTCTTTCTCCAATTTGGAATGAAAAGACCTGAAATCCAGTCAGTTCCAAATTAATGTGGGTGAGTTGCAATGTGAGGCAATTCCTTAGGGAGGGGACTATCAATTTGGGGTAGGGTTCTCCAGGCAAGTTCTAAGATCCCATACTGTGCAATACCCATGGGAATGGTGGTGTGTACAGTGTTCCTCCCTGGAAGTGCCAGAACCTTCTGGAACTTAAGAGGACCTTCAGGAGTGTGAGAACCACCACAAAACAGGCAGTAGAACAATCGCTCCCCGGGCACGAGGTCCATGGCAGTGAGGGCCTCTTTGTAGATGATTGCTTGAGGTTGAGGTTCTCTCAGTAGCAGATCCTGTAGAAGCCTCTGGATTCGAGGGGACTTCAGCTGGTACAGGTCCATGAGCTGGTGGAAATGTTCCATCCAAGCAGTTTTGTCTTCCGCGTATTCCTGCTGCAACATTCGCAAAACATAGTACAGGGCCACAAATGTCTCCCATCTAGGTATCTCTTGCCTTTTTTTAGAGGTAAGCTGTGCTGCCTTCTCCAATTTGGGCAATTTGGTAAGACTTCTCCTATCCTTTAAAGCCCAGAAAGCCTTTGGAAATACCAATGGTTGGGTTTGTTTGTCTACAGAAGCACAGGCACCTGCGAAAATGTCCTGTGTGTCAGGATAAAAATGTGAGGACTTTGGTGTGGGAAGAGTCAAAGGTTCCAACCAGATCTCCTTTTCCTTTTCTTTTATGGGAGGGATCACTTTCAGGGATCCTAGACCCCTGATATCCTCACTGGGTTTTAGCAAATCTGTGCCTTGTGATTCCAAGGACAGCTTGTGATGATATACAATAGTTTCAAACTTGGCCAGGTGCATCCACTCCAAGTTTCCTGTTGAGGTGAGGTCTTTGAGAAGCTGACATAGTCTGTGGAAACTCTCTCTGGAAAGTTGCTCTCCTGCTTCCATTCTTTCTAGAACATGGTGGATCCATTCTATATCGGAGAGTCTTCCCTTTGAATGCTGTTCTTCACTCATCATTTGGGGAAGAGGTAAGCGTACATCAGCAGTCTGCCCCTTTAGAGATCTATGATGTTGTAAAACCCAGTTCCATCTGGCAACTGATGGTTTATGTTTCAATTTCTGAGATTCCATGGTTTTTAAAAATAAGTGGGACATGACTGGGGTCTTTAAGTCCTGTTCATGGGCTTCCAAATGTCTATCTAAAGCTTGTAGAGATAGAGGCTCAAATTTCTTCAATAGTTCTCTTTGTTTATCCCCAATACTTGTGTCTAAGATTAACTTGGGTGTCTCAACAACTGTGGCCTTTTCACCTTTCTGGGTCATTTGTTTTATTAACAATGACACTGGCATCTCTTCTCTACCCAGGGCTATGGGGATCAGTGTTTTGAAGTGACTTTTCTGTTTGACAGCTCTTCCTTTGACTTCAAAGGTTTCTTTTCTAACAGAAGGAATTGTATCCCTTCTTAGGTCTTCTCTTTTTGGTTGTGACTTAAATAGTTTCTTTTCTTTCTTTAAGATCTCTATTGCCTTGCTTTCCTCTTCTTCAGATAAGCTTCTCTCCTCTATCTTATACAAACGTTCGGCCTCCTTCACACTCAAACTTTCCAGCTCCTCTTCACCCAAACTTTCCATCTCTTCCTCACTCAAACTTTCCACCTTCTCCTCACTCATGCTTTCCTCTTCTTCTTTTTCCTTCTCTTTTCCTTTTATTTCTTTTTCCTTCTCCTTCTCCTCTATTTCTTTTTCCTTCTCCTTCTCCTCTATTTCTTTTTCCTTCTCTTCTTTTATATCTTTCTCCTTCTCCTCTTCTTCTTCCTCCTCCTCTTCCTCCTCATCCTCTTCCTCCTCCTTTTCCTCCTCATCAGACAAACTCTCATGTTCTACTTCATCTAACAGGCTGTTCATTTCTTGGCAAAAACCCTCTTCACTTTCTGTCTCATCCACTTCAGTAGGGAGCCCTCCCATTGATGTATCCTTAGCTTTCCTTTGCAGTTTTCTCTTTCTCCATCTTGCTTTAGTAAATGGGATTACCTTTTCATCCTTTGCTATTTCCTCCTTTTCCTGTGTAGCTTGGCTTTCTTCCTCAGCCAATTGGTTTTCTTTCTCAACCATTTTTTCCTCTTTCTTTACCAATTTTCTCAGTTCTTTGGCTAGTTTTTTATGCTTCTGGGCCAGTTTGTTCTCATCTTTGATCATATCTAATTGTTCCGCAGAAAAGTCCCACTCTTTGTTATCAAGTTTATTCTGTTCCTTTACCAAGTTCCTCTCCTTAACAAAGAGTGCTCTCTTTTGTCTGGTCATATCTATTGCTTCCTGGGTTAGTTCTCTTTCTTCTTTAATTAGTTTTCTAAGGGCTTTTAACATGTTTCTGTCCTTGCTAATTTGTTTTGCCTTATTTAATGTTCTTATTGCTTTAGCTAACTTCCTTTTTTCATGGGCATATATTCTCTCCTCACCAGTAAATTCCAATTTTCTTTGGACAATCTCCTTATCCTCTGTAGCCAACATCCTCTCTTCATATGTCAGTATCTTCTCCTCTAGGGACAATTTCTTCCTCATCATTTCTAGTTCCTCCTCAGTATGTTTTCTCTCACTGGGGCTTACTTTGGTCTGTCTCTTGAAGGTCATTTCCTTTTCCTCAGCCAGTTTCTTCTCTTTGGCCAGTTTCATCTTTTCTATGCCCAATGTAATTTCTTCTTTAGCAATATCCCACTCATTTTTTTGTACTTTCTTTCTGTGAAACAGTACTCTCCTCTCCATAATTAGTTTCATTTTTTCCTCAGCCACCTTCTCCTGTTTCTCAGCCAGATTTTTCGCTACTTGAGTCAGTTCCTTCTCTATTGACTTGAATTTCTCCTTCTTCCAGGTCTGTATCTCCTTTTCCCATATCAGCCGCTCTTCTAGTTGAAGCATTTTCCCCTTATACTTGCCCAAGTTCTGCTTTATGCGGCTAATTTTCTCTTTGTCCTGGGTAAGTTTTTCTTTGTTCTGGAGATATGTCTCTTTCCTAAGAGTCAACTTTTCCTTCTTCTGAGCCAAATTCTCCTTTTTCTGAGACATATAATTCTCTTTTAGGGCTAGTGTTTGTTTATTCTGCATGAGGTTCTCTTGATCCTGTGTTAGCTTTTTCCTTTTCTGAAACAGTGTCTCCTTGTCCCTGGTCAGTTGCTTCTTTTCCTGGGACAGTATTTTCTGGACCTCAGGTTTCTCTTCCTTGTCCTGGGCCAGTTTCTCCTCTTCCTGGATGAGCAGCTCTTCTTCTTCAATCAGTTTTTTTTCTTCCTCATCCAGTACCTCTGCTTGCCAGAATAGTCCCTTCTCTTCTTGTGTCAATTCTTCCTTTTCCTTAGCCACTTTTTTCTCTTTCTGATTTAGGTCTTCTTCTTTATCAGCTAATTCATTCTTTTCCTGTGTCAATTCTCCCAGTTCTTGGGCCAGTTTTTTTTCTTTCTCTGACAGTTTTTCTTCCCTTTGGGCTACTTTTTTCCCTTCCCAAACCAGTCTTTTTTTAACCTCAGCCAGTCTAGCCCATTTCTTTGCTAATTTCTCTTCTTCAAGGGCCAGTTTCTCCAATTTCCTGGCCACTTTCTTCTGTTTCTGGGCCAGTTGCTCTGCTTCCTGGCTTAGGTTTTCCTCTCTTTGGGCCAACGTTTCCTCTTTCTGGGCAAGTTTTCTCTCTACTTGACCCAGATCCCCCCGTTCCTGGGCCATTTTCTGATATTCTCGGGCCAGCTTTTTTTCTTCTTGAGCCAGTTTTTTCTCCTCATGTGCTAGTTTCTCCTCTTCTCGTGCCAGCCTCTTCTCTTCCCTGGCTAGTTTTCTTTCATTCTGGGCTTGTTTCCTGTCTACCCAGGCCTGTTTCTGTTCTTCTTGGATGTGTCTCTGCTCTTCTGTGGCCAGCTCTTCTTCCCACTCTGGAGATAATTCTTCCAAGACCAATTCTTCCTCATCCTCAGATGGCTGCTTCTTGGGGCTGCCAAACAACATATTTTCTATGACATGTCCCCACTCATCCCATTTCAGCTTCCTCTGGTCCCCCTCCAGCTTCTCATCTATGAAGAGCTTCTTACTGAAGTCATGTTTCTGACACCAGTCATCCCAAGCATTCTTCCATTCAGTCCAGGATACCTTAGTCTCATCTTGGAACTGTTTCCTCTTATCCAAGGTTTCCTTCCACTCATGCCAAGCCTGTGTCTTCTCAGTCAAATCTAGCCTTTCTTCTTGGTCAACCTTTCCCACCTCTGGTTCTACCATTTCTACCACTTCTTTACTCATGTCCTTCTCTTCTTTGCCTAATTCCGTCCTTGTTTTATCCATTTTTAATTCCTGTTGGGCCATTTTCCTCTCAAGCTCAGGTGACTTTTTAAGTCCTTTCCTCTCTTCTCTCTTTGATAAGTATTTTCCTTTTGTTAAGTCACTTGGTTCTAAAAAAACAACTTCTTTTTTCTTGAGTTTTTTTGTAATCACCTGGGTTTCCTCCAACTCTTGCACGTCCCGGGTTTCGTCCAACTCCTGCACATCCAGGGTTTCCTCCAACTCCTGCACATCCAGGGTTTCGTCCAACTCCTGCACATCCAGGGTTTCCTTCAACTCCTGCACATCCCTTGCTTCCTCTTGCTCTTGACTTGCCGGTATCTCTTTTTCCTCATCTCTGATTGTTATGTCCTTTTTAATTGCTTCTTCATGGATGAAAATTGGTTTCTCCTTTGGCCAGGCCATATCCTGTTCAAGGTCCTCAAGCAGAATCTGACTTTTCTCCTTAAACAGGGGGCAAATCTCTTGGAAGAGCTCCCAGCTAGGATGTCGATCTGCCAGCATTTCTTGAGCTACAGTTAGTACCTCAGTGCTTAGAGCTTCTGACATTTTTGTTTGGGAACCAGATATTCTCAGTGTCATGAGGCGACATAGATCATCTCTCCATGACAAGTCATCTCCAATGGCCTTGTGGCCAGGCACTCCAGCGGCACCCCGCCCACCAGCCTTAATCGTCTTCACACTTGGCTTTTCCTCTACAGGAGGCTGAGGTACCTCAGTTACAATTTCATCTTCTTTGCTCTTCTTCTTTTGTCTCTTACTGTGTTTTGGAGGTGTAATTCTTTTGCCTTTTTTGTCATGTATTTTCTTCAGGGCCGACAAAATATGATCCTTTAAAGTCTCTTTTGGCTCTCTGGTTGTGTCATCCTCAGTTGGTGCAACTCCACTCTGATCACTTTCAGCGTCAAATGGGCCTGGCTGTTTTGAGTATCCCTCTTTTAACTTCTTGAGACTCCGAAACCATTTCCGGGCTGCCAAGAAAATCAAGAGACAGAGGTAAGGAAAACCTTGAAAGTTTAAATTAAACCTTTCTTGATGGAAGTAGCGATGTAGAGGAGTGAGGCCTTTGGGGGCAAGTATAAGGCATTCTCCTTGTTTTATATTTTTATAT